GCCATTACCTGCTCCCAAGAAATCTGCATCGCTGTCAGGACCTCAGCAATAGTATTGAAGATGGTCGTTGCGTCTGTTTTCAACACCCGTCCCACACCCACGAATGTTTCCGTCGGCCGATCATTATCAATATAGGGTATACGTCCCTAACCTCGGTCTAATATGCAGCCATAGATTACGTTTTTAATCATAACTCATCAATTAATTTACCTGCAAACGATATTCTACTGCTAAATGGTATGCTTAGATATGCTTATCATGTCGTTTGCTATCAGGAACCGCAAAAAGTTGAAAAACTTACTTTTTTTAAGACAAAAACTCACCAGGGAAATGTATGTAATATCGGTCTATTGTCCCCAAATTGGGTCTATTTATGGATGCAACTTCGTCCTATCCTGTTTGATTCTCAAAAAAAACGCTCTTGGTAACGTTTTCTTATGTATTTTTTTTTATCACTATCACTGTTAACTTAATACTCTTCATTCCTCAAAACATTTCTTAGAGAAAATTTTACGAAAACTACATTAAATCACTCAAGTTAAAAATTAAAAATTAAAAATTTCGCTTATCGTCTTTCGACCGCAGAATATCTAAATCAAAACATTGTGATGTTCATTATACAGATTTGGCAGAAAAAATCTCCCTTCCTGTTCGTTCCTTATCATCCAAATGCAAACCACATTGTTGACGTTACTCTTATTGCTATATGCTGTCAAATGAATTTCATGGGCCAAAGTTAGGAACATAGAAAAGAAATGTGTCCCTAAAGTTGGGTCCATGATTTACTTGTGAAAACGTTGTTAAACAATTAAAATAAACATAAAATATTCAAACAGTAACTGTGAGTTTTACGTCTAGTGTGTATTATCAGGTAATTCCATTCAATAAATGCCATAATCAGGCCATTTGATGATCGTCAGTGCAACCTTCCCATCTTAACCTTAGAAGTCATGGCGGCTAAAAACTCCGAACAGAGTGATATTCTCAACCAGTTTTATTACTTACGAGAGCTGAAAATGTATTGAAATGTTGTGATATAAATTGATTTGTGTGTGGTACACATTTATCAATCATCAGTGATCAATATTTTCCTTATTTTTTGTGTAATATTCCTTAATTAATTATTTATTTGCGTGATAGGCCGAATGAAAGGACTAGACCCACATTACATACCGTAACCCTACCTGATGACAATCGCCAACTGCTCGCAAGGTTTTCGCAATGTTCCGCAACATTACATTCAGTTACCTTTCTCTTTTGAAATTCTTCTCAGAAGTCATCTGGAATTATTTTTTGAACTTTTCTTAACTTTTACTCACAACACCTTGGAACTAAAATTCCCTTAGAGTTTCAGAAGAATTTGCTGAGTATTATCCAGAAGTTATTCCCGGAATGAGCTAGAAATTATCGGTACTCCCTTGAAGTTTTCCTCAAAATCCCTTTGGAATTTCACTCAAAATTTAATTTTCTCGGTATTCTATTCGGAATTATCTTGAAACAATCTGCAGGATTCACTAGAAATCATTACCAGAATTTTCTTGGAACACTCCACAGAAATCCTTTCAGAATTCAATATCCTTGAGGTTCTTCTCGGATTTTGTTAGAACTTTCCTAAGAGCTCTTTTGAAATTCTTATTGGAACTGACATTCCTTTAGAGTTTCAGAAATTTTTCCTGGAATGAGCTAGAAATTATCCTCTGAATTCACTTGAAATTTGGCTTAAAATCCCTTTAGAATTTCACTCAAAATTTGATTTTCTCGGTATTTTTTTCGAAATTATCTTGGAACTATCTGCAGGATGCATTAGAAATTATCCACAGAATTTTCTTCGAACCCTCCCCAGAAATATTTTGGAACTGTCCTAAGAATACAATATCCTTAAGGTTCTTCTCGGAATATATTAGAACTTTTTTTTCTCAGAACACATTGGAATTGAAATTCCCCTAAAGTTTCAGAAGAATTTCCTCCGTATTCACCAGAAATTCTTTTCAAGAATGAGCTTGAAATTATTCTTGGGATTCCCTTGAAATTTTCCTCAACATCCCTTTGAAATTTCATTCAAAATTTGATTCTCTCGGTATTATTTTCGAAATTATCTTGGAGCTATCTGCAGGATTAACTAGAAATTATTCGCAGAATTTTTATGGAATCATCCCCAGAAATCTTTTCTTTTGGAACTGTCCTCAGAATGCAATACCCTTGAGGTTCTTCTCGGAAGTCAAGTTTAAGTTGTCCGTCTATTCACCAAAACGTTGTAATTTTTCTACCAGAAATGTTCAATAAAGCTTGCCCCTCCATTTACCAGAACTGTGCAATTATTACTCCAGGAATTTTCAAATCAGCTTGCCCCTCCATGCAGCAGATTGTTGCAAATCTTACACCAGAAATTTTCAATACAAACATGCCCCCAGAAAATTGGGTGCAGGTTTTCCATCAAATCAAGCTTGTCCTTATTTTCAGATTTTTCATCATAAATTTTCAGTAAAGCAGCTTCCCATCCAATCATCAGAATGGTGCAAATTTGCACCAGAAATTATTATTAAAGTTTGTTTCTCTATTCAGCAGGAGGATGCAAATTTAATACCAAAATTTTTTCGAAAAGCTTGCCCATCCGTTCACCAGAACGGTGCAGATTTTCCACCAGAATTTTTCAATATAGCTTAATTTTAAATAAAGCTTGTGCCTTCATTTACCAGACCAGTGCAAGTTTTCCACCAGAAATTTTCGGTTAATTTCATTTATCAGAGTGATGCAAATTTTGCACCAGAAATTTTCAATAAAGCAAGCTCCTCTATTCACCAGAACGGTGCACCAAAAATTGTAAGAGAAGTTTGTTTCACCATGCACCTTGATGGTGATTGCAGGGTTCGCCTCTTCAAAAAACTTTCAATGAAGCAATGAAGCAGTGTTGCGAACCTTCCACCAGAAATTTTCAGTTAAATGTGCACCTCCAAATTTGTAGCATGATTCATTTTTTCCACCAGAGTGATTCATTTTGATTAGTCCCTCCATGCACCACCTTGACGATATTTTTACACCAGAAATATTCAATAAAAAGCTTTTTCTTCAATTTACCACCACGAAGGTGGATTTTATCAACCTTATTTTACCTTCTTCTTTTAACCCTCCATGAACCACCTAGAAAAAAAAATACTCCAGAAATTTATTATATGCACCATTGTCGTGCAATTTTTTGACCAAAACATTTCATTGAAGTTTGCCCCTTCATGCACCTTTGTGGTGCAATTTTCAGGCCCATCTCAAAGGAATTGACACAATAAAAGGTTTTCAGTGCCCTGATATTATGAAATGAAGTTATTTTACTTTCCAATCAAGAAGAAATGAACCAGCCTCTGGCTGAAAGTCTCGCTAATAAAGATAACCTAACCTAACCTTCAAATCAAGGTATCAAGAAATCAAGTAATTTATATAATATAATTTGGTAAATGTGGAAATAAAAGTCTTATTTATAAAAGATGGGGCAATTGCCCCACCTTGCCCCACCCTGTGCACGCTAGTGGTTCCTTCTATGGGCGATCGCGACAATTATGGATCCGGAGGAGGGGGAAAGTTGATTCAAGTTATAATTTGCTGTAATTCAACACCACGAATCTTCAATTTAGAAGGTAGCGTTTTCTTCAGTGGGCTTGGATTTCGATCTGAAGATGATCGTCGTTCGTTTCACAACGAAACAGGTTACGCATTGATGGTTAAAAGGTGCGATCACGGGGTGCAAACCATGTGGAATTTTGCAGCAAGATCGAACCTAAGCGATGTCTGCGGTAGAAAATAGTTGCACACAATGATGATTGCCTGCACACCAACCCAAATTTGGATTGTTCGAGAGCGGGAGAGATCATCGTCACGATCACGAGATGTGGTGGATTTCGTTAAAGATTGATTCACGTGAAAATGACATGTAGATATGAAATAGCTCACCCCGTACGACTATGAATGAAATATTTGAAATTTCTCATATCGCAAGGTGTAACATTCGAGTGAAAGCAGCAATCGTTTTCGCTGGTAGTCAGTCAGACCGACAGACAGGCCTTAAGCGAGGTATGGTGTGACATATGAATGAATGACTGAATGGCCCACGCTTCTAGACGCTACTAATTGACTCAAATTTATTCCAATTAGGTCCGAGTTTGATAATAGTGGTGATGTCAATCAGGGAACGTTGGTGAGTTGGTGTTATGTTTGCATATGCACACAAAACCGAGTGATGCAATTCTCGCAGTCATGGTGCAAATATTTGCATCCGGTAGTCTCCGAAGAAGCAGCACTCATCATATTTTCCGAGGTTAGAAGACATTAACTATGCAAATACGAGCAGAACGGGAGAGTGATGCATTAGGTACAACCTAAGTCCGTTTAACATCGAGAAACTTCAATGCACGGACAATGAAGTTCGTTAGTTTCTGCAATGTACCCTTTGCATGCAACTTCAATCTTGGCCCCCACACGCTGCGCTTCTGGCTTATGCAAAAAGGACGCTTATATTTGCGAACGTGACTGGCGTTTTCGAGTGCCGAATATGGTGCTGTTGCTGTTTGCGAATAGCCACGCGCGCGGCCAGGAAGGTTAGATTGAAGTGGGTATGGGTACACCTGACTGCTTACGACAATGATGATGATGAAGTTGGTGACGCAAAGTGGGTTTTTACCAACTTCCAGGGACGAATGAGTACAATGACTCTGCGCGCATGGATCATTCTGTTCTGACATGGCAATAATCACAAGAAAATGTATACGCAAATCATTTGCTGCAAATTCTAGTACCTAGGTAGTATGCTCATTTCTTGAAAAGGTTCTCAAGAAACGAGCACACAACCTAGTTTCTCAAGAAATGCCCAGCAAATCATGTGCAATATTTAAACCGTATTCCAAAAATATAACAGCAATAAGGGTTAACACTCCACTGATAGAATGGAAACCGATTGCTTCTGAACATAGTCGTCTCATTCCCTGGTTGTGCTTCAAAAACCCCAAAATACTCACCCAACTGATGGGTCTGCGCTTCGCCGATATAGATCCGGTAGAAAATTTGATATGAATCCGCACTCTGTCGACGGGAAAGTTTATACGCGGGCGTTGAACGTGTAACCGAAAGCAACGATTTCAGCAAAAGTCCCATACGGTTGTAAATGGAGTGGGTGGTACGCGACTGCAGGTCACACTGTTCTGATTGTACACTGAACGACCAAACCTCCAAGATCATATTATCTCCCTCCACGGTCTGGAGAGAGATCTCTACGCACAACGGTAACCGCGTGACAATCGATTCATGTTGACTGATTTGAAGCACTTTCTTCGTTTCCGCTAGAACGTCCGGTTGATCGACTATCGCGATGTTGAACTGTGGAAGAAGAGAAGAAAGGATTTCCATTAGAATCGTTCCAAGAATCAATGATAAAGCTTTATTCGAGACCGCGACGGCAGACGGCGCTACGCCCACATGAACAACAACACGAGGAAGGTATATATGTTACTTGGAAGCATATCGATTTTCCGCACGGATGAGTGGCTGTGGATATGGAGCTTGGCGCGCGCGTGTTTTGTGCTCATTTTTACCGAGCTCTACGAAGTAGGCGGTGAAAGGAGCTGAACAAAACAGAGCGTCCGTCCGTACACTTGAACTCGACCTTGGCTTCCCACCGCGCCATGGCCACCAACTATCACATCGCACCGTAGGTATGGTGTTCTATTAAAGTTACTTGTCTATTTTCATTAGCCATTTCAGACTACTATCCGGACATGTTGCGCCCAGTATCTACTGGAAGTTGAGTGTTCCATTTGGTTGTGGAAATGACTATCGTAAATAAGTAAATTATTTACCGTTGATGGCTCTTTTGTGATGGGTAATCGGAAAGGTTCATAGAGCCATAACGAACTGGACCAAAGGGAGTTCTCCATGCGTGACTTTCACTTATGAAGGATCCGGGTTACGGAATGAGTCTGCCTAATTAAGTTTTGGTAGAAATGAAGGCAGACGAAAGAGGGCTACATCTTTCCCATTATCCTTTCATGTATAACTTTCTACAGAGAGCAGAGTAATTGCGGATAAATATTAGTCATGTGTGAAGGAACCAAGGGTCACTAAAACGTTTAACAGGTGTAACAGATTCCAATGCACTATTCTTCCAATTGAGTAGTGTAAGGTGGGGCAAGATGGGTCAGCTAGTATATTTATTATTCATTTGATTGTTAAAATCAACAGGTTCAATGCAACTCCAATGATGACTTGCTTCTTCAAACCTTCTTGAAGACCCATCTTGCCCCACTTTACCCTACATTTCATCCGAAACCATACTTGAGGTAATTCTTCCGCAGCTGAAGCGCAACCAAGCTTGAACCTAATTAGGTGCATTCAATATCCCACATCCCAACGCTACCGGTTTTGTTGTTGTTCCCAACATCGAAGTCACACCCCATCGATGATGATGACGTTATGAAAGCGTATGTGATTGCTACCAGCATGATTTCTCTTTATAAATGAGGAGATATCGTTGTGAGTGGCTATTTCCATACATGGAGGATGAGCTTCCTCAGTATCAAGTTTATTTGGATGAATTTGACTTCAACGTGGGAAGCAGTCACCGGCATTTTCCATTATGAATGATAGCGATGTGTGAACAAAACTGCAAATATCTGGATCAGAAGTGCTGACCTTATCAAAGTATTTGTTGGGCAAGACGTCATAGAAAAAAAATACGAAATGTAGAATTGATGGTATTGATATTATTTTTTTTCTTTATTATCGTGATTTTTAGACGTACTAGTTCATCACGTTAGATAGGAAGAGGTTAGGCTTAGGGTCTGCCTCAGAAGAAGGTTTCAATTTGACATTAACGTACCGTACAACTGGCTCTGATTACCCGCCGAGAGAGACAGACAACACTGTACAAACTTAATGTAAAATGAGAATTACATACGGAGCTGTGGCGAGGAATGCATGCGCGAACAAGGTAGAGCTCCACCGCAGGTAACAGTGCCCCCGTCTGGTAGAGATACCCCGACGGCAGAAAAAAATAGAAAGGTGAAAGAACACGATCAGCGCAGCCAACGTCGTGGGGCGTCACCAAATAGATTCCAGACGTTCTCCGGAAGTCCGTGTAGTTCGCGTAGCTTCTGGAATTCCGGACAGACACACAGCATGTGTTACACCGAGGCGGGGAGGGGCATGAAGTAGTTCGCCTCCTCGTGGTGTGCCCTGGAAACGCTACTGCTGCGGATTATTACTCTGGCTGCGGGAAGGATGCTGCCCGTGAGGACAATGCTACTTAAGCACTACCACTGCTTTTTTTTTTTTTTTTTTTTTTTTTTTTTTTTTTTTTTTTTTTTTTAACTCTTTATTTGTTCCAAATTCAAAATAAATTACATTTCATTTTTAACCTAGGTGCTCCAGTTACTACAGTAACTTACCAGCCTTAATTGTTATGATATATATCTAAGTGTTTTTACATTGTTCCTGTCTTGGCAATTCAGTATTTTAAACAGGTTTTTTAAACCTGCATGTCAGTATAACAATTGATAGCTTAAAACTAAATAACTAAAACTAAATCTTATCTAAGTATAAAGGGAATTAATCGTTGCAATTGAGGATTGTAACGATTTTTGCCGGAAATTACTAATTATTTTGTTGGACATTTGTGCTAAAGTCTCAACATTCGAAATTCTATGTACTTCGGTAGTACTGTACCAGGGAGGCAACTTCAAAATCATCTTCAGAATTTTGTTCTGAATCCTTTGAAGTGCTTTTTTCCTGGTAGTGCAACAACTAGACCATATTGGCACAGCGTAAAGCATGGCCGGTCTAAAAACTTGTTTAAATATTAGAAGTTTATTCGTCAGGCAAAGTTTGGATTTCCTGTTTATAAGAGGATACAAACATTTTATATATTTGTTACATTTGGCTTGAATGCCCTCAATGTGATCTTTAAAAGTTAATTTATGGTCAAGTATTAATCCAAGATATTTCACTTGGTTTGACCAGGAAATTGGAACTCCGTTCATAGTGACTATGTGACTACTACTAGGTTTCAAAAAGGAAGCCCTGGGCTTATGTGGAAATATTATAAGTTGAGTTTTGGAAGCGTTGGGAGAAATCTTCCATTTTTGTAAATAAGAAGAGAAAATATCTAAACTTTTCTGCAGTCTGCTGCAAATAACACGAAGACTTCTTCCTTTAGCGGAAATGCCTGTGTCATCAGCGAACAAAGATTTGTGGCAACCCTGAGGCAAATCAGGGAGGTCCGAAGTGAAAATGTTATACAATATAGGCCCAAGAATGCTACCCTGAGGAACTCCTGCTCTAACAGGTAGTCGATTAGATTTGGAATTTTGATAATTTACCTGCAGAGTTCTGTCAGTTAAATAATTTTGAACTAATTTCATAATGTAAAGTGGAAAATTAAACTTTTTCAATTTAGCAATCAAACCTTCATGCCAAACACTGTCGAATGCTTTTTCTATGTCTAGAAGAGCAACTCCAGTTGAGTGGCCTTCAGATTTGTTTGAACGAATTAAATTGGTAACTCTCAAGAGTTGATGAGTAGTTGAATGCCCATGGCGAAATCCAAACTGCTCATCTGCAAAAATTGAGTTCGTATTGATGTGAAGCATCATTCTATTCAAAATTATTTTTTCAAAAAGTTTACTTATTGAAGAAAGCAAACTTATTGGACGGTAGCTAGAAGCTTCAGCTGGATTTTTATCCGGCTTCAAAATTGGAACAACTTTTGCATTTTTCCATTTATCAGGAAAGTATGCCAAATGGAAACATCTGTTAAATAATTTTACCAGGAAAGACAAGGTACTCTCTGGGAGTTTTTTGATGAGGATATAGAAAATTCCATCATCACCTGGAGCTTTCATATTTTGAAACTTTTTAGTTATAGACCTTACTTCGTCCAAATCAGTCCCCCAGGAATCATCAAAAATATTTTCCCGAGAGAAAATATTCCGAAAATCCCGAGCAACCTGATTCTCAATAGGACTAGTAAGACCCAAACTGAAATTATGGGAACTCTCGAATTGCTTAGCAAGTTTCTGAGCTTTTTCCAAATTTGTGATCAAAATTTTACCACCTTCTTTAAGCGCTGGAATTGGCTTTTGAGGTTTTTTCAAAATTTTTGTGAGTTTCCAAAAGGGTTTGGAACTCGGGTCTAATTTAGAAACATTATTTTCAAAAGTTTTGTTCCTCAGGGCAGAGAATCGCTTTTTAATTTGTTTTTGCAAATCCCGCCAGATAACTTTCATGGCAGGATCGCGTGTTCTTTGAAATTGTCTCCTACGGACATTTTTAAGACGGATCAAGAGCTGAAGATCATCGTCTATTATAATTGAATCGAATTTAACCTCGCATTTTGGTACTGAGGCAGCTCTTGCTTCAACTATAGAAGTAGTCAGAGATTCAAGAGCATAATTAATTTCATCTTTGGTTTGCAAAGGAATGTTTGGATCGAAGTTATATTCCATAAATGTTCGATATTGCTCCCAATCAGCCCTATGGTAATTGAAAGTAAATTTGTTGGGATTAGAAATTATTTCTTGGGATATTTCAAAAGTTACTGGAAGGTGATCAGAACCGAAGTCAGCATGGGTAACCAATTGGCTACAAAGATGACATGAATCAGTTAAGACCAAATCAATAGTTGAGGGATTTCTTGCAGAAGAAAAGCATGTTGGGCTGTTTGGATATTGAATAGTGTAATAACCTGCAGAACAATCATCAAACAGAATATTACCATTGGAATTGCTTTGAGCATTATTCCATGAGCGGTGTTTTGCATTAAAATCACCAATAATGAAGAATTTAGACCTATGACGGGTAAGTTTCTGGAGGTCACCCTTGAGAAAATTCTTTTGCTGGCCTACGCATTGGAATGGCAAATAGGCAGCTATAAACGTAAGTTGTCCAAATTTTGTTTCAACAGAAACCCCCAAAGTTTCAAAAACTTTGGTTTCAAATGAAGAAAGAATTTTATGCTTGATTCGTCTATGAATAATGATGGCAACGCCACCACAGGGTCCATCAAGACGATCATTTCTATAAATCAAGTAATTTGCGTCCTTCTTAACCTTATGGGCAGGTTTAAGGAACGTTTCAGTTATAACGGCAATATGCACGTTATGAACTCTCAAAAAGTTAAATAGCTCGTCTTCATTATCTTTAAGAGATCGAGCATTCCAATTTACAATATTTAATGCTTTAAAATCCATTACTGAATTTTAAAGTCATGACAATATTATTTGCAAATTTTACTCCAGTTTGAATAGCATCAAACATGGAGTTAGATTTAAGCATATCAGAAATCATGTCAATTAATGAATTCTGTAAAAATTCCATTTTAGGGG